TGCTACCAACAGGAGAGAAACAATACTAAAGTGATGTAGGGAAGACAGAAATATAGACAGGAAGAAAATTATAGTCACCTTAGACAAATAAATATATTGAAAACATTAACTCCAATAGGGATATTTAGTATAAGGCCACATCTACACTAGACTCGGAAAGTCGGCTTAAGGTATGCATTTCCAGCTACGAAAATAACATTGCTGGAGATGACTTACTTTAAGCCAGGGTTGGTGCTGTCTTCACAGTGGGAGGTCACTGAGAGCAAACACTTGTGTAGGCTTCTTTTACTCCTTGCAATTGTGCAGAGTGCCAGCACCAACTAGTACTTAACTAGACCTGCTAAATTGAATGCCAAAAGACCGATCTCTGGCATGTAAGTATAGACATGCCCTAAGTGAGGTCTTGGTAAAAAAGTAATATAAAGTGTAAAAGTCATTGCTGATAGACAGAGAAAAAGGAGCGAGCAATTGTGACAGACTATACCCCACGTACTGTTATAATAATCTTGGTATGCCTTTTAAGGTATCGTTTGAAAACTCATAATTTGCTGAGAACTGTTGTCCTGGAAAAATAGGTGGGACGACATTGTACGTGAAGTTAAGATTCCCCTGTATGATGTTAACACAACAGGTTCCAAACTCATAGTCCCACCCAAACAGAAGCTGGCAAACAGGTCTGCACTTCAAAGGAAAGTGCACTTTGCTTAATATGCATTTAAAATGAGAGGGAAGACAAAAAGTTCAAACAGATGAAAAAAAAAAAACCCAGAAGGGAATGTTCTTCTACATAGACACTCCAACTTCACACAGCAAGGAGTGACTTACATGACTGGAGGCTGTTTGAGAGGAGCAATGCATTATAAAGGGCATCTCAGGTTACAGGGCAGGGGTGATGCAGCTACCCATTACTCTGGAGTGTACGTCACAGCAATCCACTACGTGGCAATACAAATAAAGTGTGATTCGGGGCTGTTCAGGCGAATGGAATCCCCAGTAGAGGATTTCTGCCAGAGTGTGAGGAAGTCCAGCTATAACAGCTGTTATAAATGTTTTCCTAAAAGAAAGGACAAATACCCAAAGGGACCCTGCTTTCTGTCTATTGCATACTGTGCACCTGAAGAATAAAAGGAAACAGGTGTTGAACTCTGGGAGAGGGATTCTGACAAACAACTAGGTCAGTAAAACTGCTGAAAAGATATGGTGAGAAAACTTGGCTTTTAATCTAATACGTAGTTAAGTTAGGAACCAGTAAGTGTTTGCTCTTCTAATCTAATATAAAAGTGTTTCTTTTCTGACGGATGCCTCATTACTTGAACTCATTTAAAATCTCTCTTTGTAGTTAGTAACCTTGTTTTATTATCTTGTCCATCTGTTGTATTGTTTTGCAAGTTGAAAAATCTGGGTAACTCCGTTTGTGGTAACTGCATATTGTTCTCCAAAAAGAATGATGGATTTAACACAGTCATATTGTCCAGAAGAGGACTGGGCAGTACAGGACCTATGAATTCGTGGGGGAAGAAGGAGAAATCTAACACTGAGCACATTGGTGTCATCCAGTGATAACTTTTATGGCTGCTAAGAACCAAGGTATGAGTGGTTGGCTACAGCAGTTTTTCTCAAACAACAGTATGAGTACCTTTAGGGGTACTCGAGAGAAGTCTAGGGGGTACGTCAACACAACTGAAATTTGGAGAAAACTGAATTTTTGTTTTAAATTTTACAGCGCTTTATTATTTTTTTACTCTTTACACACAAAAATTTCATCATCTACCCGGCTAAAATTAATTATTTAAACAAATGTGTTGCAATGGTAGAAAAAAATGTTGTGTGTCTGAAAACTGTAGGTACTGGGGGGTACTTATAAACTTTTTTAAAGGGGTACTTTATTTAAAAAGGTTGAGAAACACTGGGCTACAGCACACACACAGCTAGGAGTGACTTATATGATGGAGGCTCTTTGTGAGGAGCAAGGCATTATAAAGGGCACCCCAGGTTAGAGGGCAGGAATGATGCAGCTACCCATTACTCCAGAGTGTACCCCAGTATGTCACACTACCCTGCAATACAAATAAAGTGTGATTCGGGGCTGTTCAGGTGAATGGAATCCCCAGTAGAGGATTTCTGCCAGAGTGTGAGGAAGTCCAAGCTGGTGCAGAGCCGATGCAGCCAGCTCCTGTATTTCTACCTTGCAGCCCCAATGTAGACAAGCAGGGGCAAGGAGGTGGACAAGCTGGGACCATCAACTCCCAGTTGGTAAATGGCCTTGTCTGAATTTACCTATTGACAGAGTTTGAGGAAGATCCTCCAATTAATCTAAATATTCCTAGGACTGGCTTAAAATTAGCCAGAGAATCAGCGAGATGCAATGGTCTCGTCTCCCAGCCATCTTTCCCACAATCCACTGCACTCAGAAGCTGATTTTTTGGTGTGTTGTGTGTCTTACCTACAGTAATCAATTAAATGGAAAGGATAACTAAATTATTGGAACAGACTATCAAGAAAAGTGGTAAGTTCCCAACATTTGGACTCTGCAGATCAGAACTGGAGGTCCTTCTGAAGAGACATGCTCTGCAAGTCATTGGGCGCAATACAAGAATCAGTGGGCAAAAATTCTATGGTCTAAGTTTTGTACCTGAGACAAGTCATAATGGTCCCAGCACAGATTTTTTTTAAGGCCGCAATGTTTCCAATGACAGCCTCTTTACTCACCATATTCCGGCAAACCAGACCACAATGAACCCCAGAAATTAATGCAAAATGAAGGACCATTAAAACACTTTCTTCTCAGTCTATATTTATCGACTGTATGTTGCTCTATCTATCAACTGTATGTAGCTTCTATCTAGGTTTTCAGAGGTTGTACCTGAGGGTATGTCTACACTACAGCGCTAATTCGAACTAACTTAGTTCGAACTAAGCTAATTCGAACTAACTGATCCAGACTAAAAAACTAGTTCGAATTAGCATTTTGCTAATTCGAACTAGCATGTCCACATTAAGTGGACCCTGAACCAGGCTTAAGGATGGCCAGAAGCAGTGCCGGCAGGGCATCAGAGGAGGACTTAGAGCGTGGAAATGCTGTCTCAGGCTAGCCGAGGGCTGTGCTTAAAGGGACCCGACACCCACCCCGGACAGACAGTTCTCAGGGGTGCCCCGCTTAGTCCTGGCTTGGATGGCCCGGAGTACCCACAGGGCACATCACAGCACTCGGCCATCAGACTGGCTGCACTTGCCGTAGGCTGACATCTTGGGAGAAGGAGCAATTGGGGGGCTGCAACAGAGCTTCCACCCCCAGAAGCCCACAGAGCCAGCCCAGTCCTCCCCATCGGTAGCTCATACCCCATTCCTCCCTCACCTCCTTCCACTTACCCCTCCCTAGTGCCCCTTCCTGATGTACAAAATAAAGGACAATTGTGTTCAAAAATAGAATCTCTCTTTATTGCACAAAACTCGGGAAGACTGGGAAAAGGAGGTGGGAGAGGGGAAGAGAGCGGGTGGGAGAGGGGAGGGCAACTAAAATGATCAGAGGTTTGGAAGAGGTCCCATATGAAGAGAGGCTAAAGAGACTGGGACTTTTCAGCTTAGAAAAGAGGAGATGGAGGGGGGATATGATAGAGGTCTATAAAAGCATGAGTGGGGTGGAGAGGGTGCATACAGAAAAGTTCTTCATTAGTTCCCATAATAGAAAGACTAGAGGACACCAAAGGAAAGGAATGGGTAGCAGGCTTCAAACTAGTAACAGAAAGTTGTTCTTCTTCATAAAGCAAAGAGTCAACCTGTGGAACTCCTTGCTGCAGGAGGTTGTGAAGGCTACAACTAGAACAGAGTTTAAAGGGAAGTGAGATCAAGTCATGGAGGTTGGGTCCATGGAGTAGTCTTAGCCAGGGGGTAGGAGTGGTGTCCCTGCCCAAAGTTTGTGGAAGGCTGGAGAGGGATGGCACGAGACAAATGGCTTGGTCACTGTCTTTGGTCCATCCCCTCCAGGGTACCTAGGATTGGCCGCTGTCGGCAGACAGGCTACTGGGCTAGATGGACCTTTGGTCTGACCCACTACGGCCATTGTAAGCTTAGGGCTAAGGGTCGGGGGTCTCAGTGGACCACCTTGATTTTCATGCACTCCTGCTCCTGGGTGGCCAGGCTGGCAGCTCTCCTGCCCTAGACGGCCACTTTCCTGTGCCTAGTGCTGAGGTCGTGGACAAGGTCCACGATGTTCGCACTAGACCAGGTGGGTGCCCGCCTCTTGCAGTTGGGCCGTGCCAGGTGCGGGGTCTGCTGGCTGGGTGCTGGCAGGCTTGCACCTGGCATGGGCACCGTAGCCAGCCCGTTCCCCTTTAAGGGCTCCGGGGCCAGGAGGGGGGCAGTAGAGTTTCCCTGGTGTTGGCCAGAGTGGCCACCAGGGAAAGCTGGGGAGGGCTAGCCTCCCACTAGTTCGAATTAAGGGGCTACACACCCCTTAATTCGAACTAGTAAGTTCGAACTAGGCTTAGTCCTCGTACAATGAGGTTTACCTAGTTCGAACTAAGCGCTCCGCTAGTTCGAATTAAGTTCGAACTAGCGGAGCGCTAGTGTAGCACCTAGGAAAGTTAATTCGAACTAACGTCTGTTAGTTCGAATTAACTTTGTAGTATAGACATACCCTGAGAAGCATCACATTTGGTTCTGGATAGTATAAGATATTACTCGATTCTTAGCTTCTGGCTCCTTTTCATTCAGGTACGCACATCCTGGCACATAGTCCAATCAGAGCATAGTGCTTTTGCTAGGGCAATTTCCCCACCCTCCTCTTCCACCACCTACCACAAAGGGGAAATGGCAAAGTATTTTGCAACAGTTGGCTAGAATCAATGTCTTCGTACTTGAACCTTTTAAGTGTCCTAGCTGTACTGACAGTGATCAGAAGCAATCCTGTCCATGCAATAGCTGTGTAAGTTTAACAGGCTGCTGGGAGACAAGCGTCTCATGCTTGGGATTGGATTTGCCCAGAAAGGACAGGCCCTTACCTGTGCTGGCCCAAGGAAGATACCAAGGGCAGCTTACATTCACATAGGTCCCAGGTAGCCCATCAGGCCAACAGGCATAGTCGTCAAATGTTCTGTTGCAGAATTTGCCTTCTGCAGAGAGATGGAAAATGGGATCCAGCATTAACCTTGGAGCCATGATCCCCGTGAAGAACAATCATCAGAAAAACGGAGGGAGGGAAGGAGGTGAAGCTGGTATACCACATAACTGTAACAAGCTGTGTTTTAGGAAGGGGAGGGAGATACCATAGAGCAGGGGGAGATACCATAGAGCAGCCAACCTAAACCTAAGAAGGAGCCAGACTTTACCAATGCACATTGTCAAAGAGCCACAGTTCTCTGTCACCAGCACCGATCATCTCTCCACCACCACTCTCAGCACATCCCGCCCACTGGCAGCCCCACTGGTCAGTGCCTCCTCCTCCTTTCCCTCCTGCTCACTCGGATCAGCTCTTTCTCAGTGGGAGACACTGGAGGGGGAAGCATGAGGGTGACAGACTCAGTGGAGCGGGTGGGAAGTGGCAGGATCCTAGGGGAAAAAGTGGAGGGGGACAGCGCCTAAAGCAGAGCTGGGGGTAGAACAGTGAGCACCCTCTGGCCCAGTGGAAGGTTGGCACCTATAGCTCCAGCCCTGGATTTGGTACCTATGTAAGGAGCCACATATTAACTTCTGAAGAGCTTCATGTGGCTCTGGAGCCACAGGTTGGGCACCCCTGCCATACAGTCTCACCCCACCCAAGAAGAAAGGGAAGGGACTGAACTTCTCAGGCTGCTCTTTGACTGAACAAGTGGGCAGGAGGATTGCAGAGGTGACATCACAAGGATCCCATGCTATGCTGCCATGCCATGCTGCCACAACACCTGCTGCCAGAGGCTTCCATCCTTCCCTAGCGCCAGGTATCCCTCGCCTCTCATGTTTCCCGGTCTTGTCTCAGTTCCCCCAGCAGCAAATATCCTTGTTATGATTGCTGTATGGAATCTTGCCCTGAGAACTGGTTGCTGTCATGATGCTGTGAATTCTAACAAATACATTGATGCACTGCTGAAATACCCACACAAATGATCATAGATCAGCATTACAGCTTATTCAATGTGCTAATGCTACAGCTTCACATTTATGAAGCCATCAGTCTCGGAGGGCGGCACTCTGAGCACAGCCAAACAAAGGAAGACGAATGTGTTGCCCTCCCACAATTGCTATCACTATACACCCCATTGTAGCAATACAGCTAACAGAGGCAGATATGGGGAAACAGTGTTTTCTAAATGTAAATTTAAGATCTGTGTGGCCCTTTGCGGAGCTCTGCTGTAGAATAGTTGAAAGGGAATCCTCTGAACTGTCATTCATGTTAAAATTCGACACTTACCACCAGGGACTTAACAAGTCTTTGAACTTTCTCACCCATTATCAAGACAGTTTCCCCAATTATCACCTGTAATACCATTAACTCACAAACATCCCACTCTCCCTACCTTTAATATCAGCAATTCACAGACACTTACCTTCCTTCCTCCCCCTTCCCACCCCCCCGCATCCCCCTTCTGTTCTGCAATGTGATTTGTCCTTTTCATATTTGTTCATTTTTTTAAATTGTATCCTTTGGTATATATGGTTGTGACTGTTTTCTTCCATTATTTGATCTGAGGAAGTGGGTCTGGCCCACGAAAGCTCATCATCTAATAAACCATCTTGTTAGTCTTTAAAGTGCTACATAGTCCTGCATTTTGCTTCAGCTACCCCAGACTAACACGGCTACATCTCTACCACTGTAGAACAGGGGCACTCTTGCTCATATACTGTGGGCCGCATTGTCAGCGAGTGCCAGCAATTACAGAGAGAGCTGCCCTTCTCTTCAACAGAATGATTCAGCCCATAGAGACCACGAACTGCATTTTCATTTACACTTAGGCCCCTTTATACCACTCTGACAGGTAAAGGGCCCTTAAAGTGGGTATAAATTAAAGTGGGGCATGGCCTTAGGCATTGAATGCAGGACTCTCCTTGAAAATCCTTGCAGAACACTCCTTGCTAGGGCCTACTGTCTCCCTCAGGTTGATCCCCTATATTCAAGGCTGCAGGCCACATTGCAGAACTCCATGGTTGGCATTCACTCCGGAGGCTGCATGGCAGACACCATGGATCTCGGAACCAAAGATGAGCCATGGTACAACAAGATACTTTGGGCCACAGAGATTAATGGATTTATAATTGATCCCTTCCATGTAATCTCTTCTCCCACTGCCTATGAAGAAACTGGTTATCCCAGGAAACAGCCCACAGGCAGTGGGCTACAGAAAATGGGAATAGAAATGGAGTTGAGTTATGGAGGAGGAGTGATTTCAAGCCCATAGCAGCTCTTTGCCACCGTTAGCAGATGCTTTATAAAGTAAAACAACATCCTATCCTGCAGAGCAGGCTTACCTGCCATAAGAGGGGGAGTCTCATAGAGATACTTCAGGCACTGCAGCTGGTAGTCTTTCCACTTCCGCATCACTTCAGAGAGGGACCCATAGGCATTCTGTAAGAGAAAGGTCTCAGGTACACTAGGAGCCAAACTAGCTATTTCTCAGACAGTCTGGATAATTTAAAGTGGATTGAACTTGGCTACAGCTGCAAGTACTACAGCCTCTTTGGGTGGCCACTTCTCCAATATGAAGCACACTTCTTAGGGGGAAAATAAGGCAGAAATCTCCTGCACATGTCTACGGATTGCACAGACATCTACTGCCAGCTACTTGGTTTAAGGAAGAGAACTTTCTGCACTTGGTCACTGATGATTTATGTAGCCATGATGAAACCAAATGAATTAAGTCGTCAGCACTAACTGGCTCCAAATGGCCTATCTTTTGAAAACATCAAACTAACACAATCTGAATTATGAACATAAGAATTACCATCCTGTAAGTGACCAATGGTCCATCTAGCCCAGCATCCTGTCTTTCAGAGTATGGCCCAGCACGGATGCTTCAGAAGATAGCATAAAAACCAGCAGCATGAACCTAATTGTCTATACTCTATCATGGAGTGGGGGAAATGTCATCTAACCCCAGCTGTTAATCAGCTCATGCTTTGAAGCATGAGGATTAAATAACCCTTGTAATTTTATCCTAGCTGCTTTAACTGCCCATTTTGGGTTTTTTATCCCTTCATGTATCTAAATCTTTTTTGTGAGAGTGGGGAGAAGCTAAGGGCCTAAAAAGTATAGTTCTAAAGCGGTCAAGAAAATTAAACAAGAGTTTAAAGAAGACTGGGCTGGATTCTTTCCGTTACACCAATGTGACTCAACTGAAACCCATGGAATTACCCTGCATTTTATATTCATGTAAATACTAACAGAATTAGACCCTACATTCTACAACACAGAACTTTATGTTTCCCCTGCCAGTACTGTGCTCTTTCCAATAATACAAAACATTTAAAATGTTTGTAAAGAAAAATTTGCACATCAAGCCTCTGTCTTGAGCAGCTAACCCAGTGAAAATAGGGGTCACTAATGGGAGCACATCACAACCAGGCTCAGCCATACAAGCGTGACAATATAGCTCTCAGAAACATGAGCTATGTGAGAGCTGGGACCTTACTGGCCATGCATGCTTCCAGGTGCTTCTCTGTTCCTGACAAACATATTAGTACTGTACACAAAGATCAGAGCTCACGATAAAAAACAGCAGAACTCTTAGCAGGCTAAGCGTCTGATGATGAGCAAATGAGCTACTCTTCTGTGACAAATAACCCAGAAGCCCAAATGAGCAGCCAGGAGTGGGACCGACTTGCCTACACACAACACGGATCTGTATTAGGTAAGGGTAGATTTTAATAGCACTACAGTCTTTGTGCCACAAAGATCAGAGCTCACGATAAAAAACAGCAGAACTCTTAGCAGGCTAAGCGTCTGATGATGAGCAAATGAGCTACTCTTCTGTGACAAATAACCCAGAAGCCCAAATGAGCAGCCAGGAGTGGGACCGACTTGCCTACACACAACACGGATCTGTATTAGGTAAGGGTAGATTTTAATAGCACTACAGTCTTTGTGCAGCTCAGTGGTCCCCAACACGGTGCCCGCGGGTGCCATGTCAGGGGTCCCCAACGCGGGGGCATTCTTTGGCGCCCGCCGAAACCCGGGCCCGGCCCCGCCCCCCGGCGCACAGGAGGCGCCGGCCCCAGGTGCGCGACACGCACCAGCGCTGGGTGCGCGGCGCTCGGGCAGCCCCAGCCCCGGGGCACATGCAGGCAGCAGCCCGGGCCCACGGCACAAGGCGCTCGGGCGGCCCTGGCCCTGGGGCACATGCCAGTGCCGGGTGCAAGGGCATCCCCGCCCCTGGCATGCCCCAGGACGCGCAGCCCTGCCCCCGGGTGCCTGGTGCATGAGTGGCCCCACCCCCCCGGGCGCCCGGTGCGTGAGTGGCCCCCACCCCCGGGCGCCCGGGAGCCTCTAACGGTTGGGGACCACTGGTCTAGCTGATGTAAAGCCACTTGGTCTGTGTCTTGCCAATGAAGACTGTGTGCCCAATCAGGATTTACCCATAGTCCTGACTGAAGGATTAGAATTCAGTCGTATGGAATTTTTATTTTATGCATCTGGCTATAAACCAACACAGAGAATGCTGGAGGGGATTACGTGCTCTTAAACAAAAAAACCAAACCAAACCTCACCACATATTTAGGTGCTGTGACCTTCTCCTTTATTAGGTGAATAATTTTCTAACAAATCAAAGCTCATTTCTTCAATTGGATTAACTGTTCCTGAATATTCACCAAATAAGCTGCTGAACAAGTTGTTTTTAGACTATGGGTTGTTTACAGGTTGCTCACTGTAACCAGTCCTCCATTATTCTTAGATGGCTGGCCATCTAAATAAATCATACAAAATTATTTCATCTTTTTCCAACAGCATGGGAAATGATTTAGAAATTGTAAAAACCAAAAACCAGCATGACCAGGATAATCTTATGGACAATCCTTTGTTCTAAATTTGTGGAGATACTAGGATTCACAAATATTTAGTAATCATCCGTACACAGGATTGTTACCTTTTCCAGAACAAACTATTTTAAAAAAAGGGGGGGGGGGGAGGGAGTGTCAATTTTCTGACAGAGTTAAATGTCATAAAGGAATAGTCACCTTTAAAAATGACTGGAGAAAACTGAAATCTTTGTCCGTCTGTTTAATCAGAAGTAGAAGTTCTATCTGCAAGGATTTTTCATTTTATGCTAAGGCAATTATAATGCAATTATTTGCAGACTATAATAGGAAAATAATCAGACATTTTCTCTTTAGTAAAGAGTTCATTTCAGATATTGTATTTTTTTATTACCAACAGCATGCTGCAAAAACAACGAACCACAAATATAATAGATTGCACAATATCTTTATTGCTCAACACACTCAGCAGTTTATAGTCTGGTTTATCTGAATATCATTTTTTGTCACTCAGATGAATAAAAAATTAGTCACTGGATGTAAGTTTTTATATGTGACACCTACTCTTACAAAGGGACTGAATACCAGGTGAATAATAAGCAATATGATTTATTTAGAGCTATAGATGTACAATGTAATTAATTACTCAAACTAGAGATAAGATGTTACTGAGAAGCTCCCTATTATTTGTCTAGTGTCTGTACACTAGACACTTTATAGACAGACACAATGACAAGGCCTCTGGCTCCAAAGGGCCTGCACCTAAATGAACAATTCATGGGCATGAGGAGGCGTTGTGGCAGGCAACTAGCGTAGCGAAGCATGTGTTGTAGGTATCGTGATTTTCATCACTAGTTTGTTGCCATCCTGCAATTATTATTTTCAGCTCTTTGCTAATTACCGAACAGTGAGGGGAGAAGCACTAGAAGGTAAATAGCCACTTTGGAGGAAAGGTGTGTCCAAGGAACGACAGAGGAGAGGATGCAGGCATGGCAGATGAGGTTGAGGTGGTGGGATTTCAAGGCACATGGAGAGCGGTGAGAGGCACAAATGGAAGCAGCACATAAAGGAGGTAAACAATGATGCAGCCTGGGTGGCTTGAAATGGATTCTTGAGAATTAAGAGAGACTAGGGGGCTGAGTCCCTGCTCACTATGCTCGCCAACCCCCCATCTGTCTGCCACAGCCAGATTGTGGTCTCCCCTCTTACCCGCACCACAGCAACAGGGGGGCAGCCAGATGGGGGCTAGACTGCAGGGCCTGCCCCAGGATTGGGAGGGGAGGGAGAATAGGAGGCTGTGGCCAAATGGGGGCTGGGCCCTGATTGGGCAGGGTGTTTGGCTGGAGAGAGGGGGTAGGCACAGAAGAGGGGCAGGCGCAGGCTGTGGGCAGCGTGTCTGGTGGGGGGAAGGTGCAGGAACAGAGAGGGCTGGGGCAGGCTGTGTGGCCTGGGGGGAGGGGGAAGGAGTGGGCTGGGAGTGAGGTGGGGAAAGTGGTGCGTGAGGTGCTGGGGGTGCAGGGTCTGAGCATGAGGGGCAGAGTGAGGCACTTGTTTTTGTGCCGCATGCCCTTCCCCTGCTGCTTCAATGGGGAAGCCGCCTCCAGCCCCGCTTCTGCTTTTGGGTCCAGGGCTCTAATGTGCCAAGACTCAGCAAGGAACCACCACCTGCCTTGGGCCACAGCCTGCCTGGTGGTCCAGCTTCGTGCCCTTTCCCCCTGAAAGATTACAGTGCTAACACTGCCTTTCTGGGGGCGGAGGGGCGGGAGGGAAGGAGAAAGTCCTGAGGCCCATGCTGGATAAGGCTTGCAGGGAAGCGTGAGTGCTGCTATGGAGAGGGGAGGAGCAGCACATAGGCTTCCCCGCAAGCTGGATCGGTCACAGAGCCTCAGGGCTTTCACCTCCCCCCATGCTGCAGAAGCCAGGGGAGGCCCCAGGCAGGCGGCAATTCTCTGGACCCAGAGGTAGAAGCAGGGCCGGAGGGGTCTCCCATTGCCACCCCCGGTCCTCCTCCAGGGGAGTCAGGGCCAGTGAGGAGCCCAGGGCACCCCGCCCCTCCGAGGAGTGGGGGGAACTCTGAGCCATGGCCTCCGCTTCTGACTCTGTGGAGGCTGGGGGTGGGGCAGGGCAGGCAATGCAGAGTGACGTGATTACATTACTCTGTCATCCCACATTTTTTTATAGAGAGACAAGTGCAGTGAGCCATTCATTGTAGTACTATCATTAAGCACAAATAATCTCAGGTGATAAATTATCCCATTTAGGAAAGTCCAACCAATGAATTCGTTAGGAATCAGCGACACCGTTATATGAGATCTTTACCCCGCTCACACACTGTCTCGGTAGCTTTTACTGCACAAAAAGTACTTTTATCATTTTCCTGTTCCTGGAGCTACTCTTGTCATACCAGGTAACTTCATCTCTGTGACCTCAACACAATCCTTGCTGCACAAGTGCTGTTCCATGGCACAAGAGCTTGAAAACTGTAAGGTGCTGAGCAACCTCATTTCTCTCCGAGGTCAGTGGAAGTGGAAGTGTCACAGAACTCACTTGCTGTCTTGCATGACTAAATTCTCTCCCAGTCTCTAATACAGCCTG